TCCCATGACGTCATCGGGATTCCCGTAGGGGTTCCCCAATGACGTCATCTCCCTAGCAACGGAAGTCACGCATGCGCATCCTTAAACCGGATGTGACGTCATCCCTAGCAACCATTATGACGTCATCCGTTGCCTAGCAACCAAAGTTCCTAGCCCTAGCCCCCTACTACTGTACAACTAGATTGTATAGGCAGCCTGCCGACCCCCACCCCTGAGCTAAAATGGCTATAACTCGACCGATTTTGACCCGAGAGGTACAATTATCAACTCACTCATCTATTTCAGTAGATAACAGAAATTCGAAATTTTTTCAAACTTTGGAGAAAATCGACTTTGAAGTTCCACCCTTGATTTCAAGAGGAAAATCGCTTATATTTTGGTTTGGGAAAAAAGTCATTTGGAGCATAGCAACTTCAGATATGTAGCTACAGTGCATATTTCAACTTTACATCTCTGATAGTTTTGGTCTTCACCCCAACCAGTGCAACGAGACTGCATAGGTAGCCTGCCGACCCCCACCCTGAACTAAAATATCTCAGATATAACAGCACAAGTTGTGGAATAAAAGGTGTCGATAACCAATCGGGTTATAATTAGGCACCACACTGTGATTGTTTAACGGGAACAAATCAGCTTAAGACTTCTTCCAGACCATAATCATATATGAATCTCAAATTTTTTCCGAATTCCAGCGGTAAACCAGGACCTAACCAGCATCATATCCTGGAGGTTCAATGCACTCATTGTAGATATACTAACCGTATTATATCTGAACTTCTCATATCAGAGTGAATCGAGAAAATCATTGCTGCTCCTTCTAAAGGTACATCCGAAAATGAATCCAAATCTGACAGTGATAGTCAAACGGGTTGCAACCCATGCAAAATTGGTCAAATTGGGATCAAAAGGACAAAAACATCCACGCAAATGAAAGGCCCAAACTTCATATTGGGGCATAAAAAATTCATGAGATCTTTGTTTTGTGATGTTTTAAATTGAGCATATGCTGCACCTCGGAATGGGTACCAGTACGTAGCCTATAATTATGAAGCAGGCATTGTTCAAAATAAAATTTATTTTCAAAATACTATTTAAGCATAAATAAATATAAAAATAATATGGCACACAAATTAATTAATGTCATTAACGCTGTTATTTGAAAAAGTAATGATTCATGGCGTTATATTTAATATAATAAAATTCAGAATCTAAGTGTACAGTTAATAGCGTGGCAAATATGCAAACATCTTCTCAATGTTGATCTATTGCAAAGTTCTTCTTATACCTTGACTGCAATAGTCACTAGTTTTGAATAAGAAAATGCAGTGGATTGTACGGTAACAATCAGAGCATCGACAGAAAGACAGTTAACATTATTTTAAATCAATGTATTTGAAAACGGTTTTTACATAAAACATTGTAACACAAAATCCAAAGCATTCACAACCACAAAAGTAACATGACTGAAAAAAAATATATATTCATACTTAAAAATGATCACAATATCATTAGGACCTTTCAAATATATTTGTTATTATCACAGTTCATTTTGTCAAAAGTCACTAACTGTTTAAAAAATTTAAATATCGTCTCACTTGGTCTTTTTTACAGATGGAGTTACTTCCCATTATCCATGTATTTGCCACATCTTCAACAGTTTGGTTGAGTTGTTTAGTGATTGTAGCGTTCAGGAGCTCAAAGAAAGAAAACGTCTTTGATTGGTTTTATTCTACAGGAGCAGTCTTTTCCAATCACATCATCATAATACATTCATCATTATATTTTCAACATAATAACATCAACATAATACATTCATCAATTAACATAATACATTCATCATAATACATTCATCATATTACCATCAACAAAATACAATCAACAAAATACCATCATTATAATACATTCAACATGATAACATCAACATAATACATTCAACATTATACATTCATCATAATACCATCAACATAATACATTCAACATAATACATTCATCATAACACATTCATCATAATACCATCAACAAAATACAATCGACATAATACCATCATTATAATACATTCAACATGATAACATCCACATGATAACGTCAACATAATACATTCGACATTATACATTCATCATAATAGATTCATCATAATACATGTACTTTTCATCAATACATCACATTTACATTCCATCAAAATTGAAGGAGCTCAGGCAGGCTATTGCATTCCATTCATTTAAAATGAAAATAGAAATACAAGATTTGATTATATTACTTATAATTATTTATTATTTTATATATTATAATTACAATTATTTATTATTTTTCTTTCAGAATCTTTTCATTGAAAATGGAAACTCACATTAACAAAAAATGATTTTTTCATTGGTGTCATTCCATCAACCTGGAGGCATTCTAAGACTCAAATTGTGATTCTGTCAATATTGTGGTCAGACAGCAATTAACAGTTTAAAAAAAAAATCTGAACATTGTTCAAATAAAATTTGACTTAAAAAATTGGATATGATTTAATTATATCAGATCCTTCCTGAACACACTCTAATCTTTAGGTATCAGCTTTCTAATATCAGTTAAAAGCTAAATTTCATACCATCCTGATCACTTTTCAGAATGAAATATTGACTCCTAGTATATTGAAAATTAGATAAAAACATAGGAAAATCCACACTGTTGACAAGACGTTATGTTTATTTAGTTGCTGTTCCATAAATACATGGTCGTAAAACAGGTAGGAAAATATCCATTTTAAATTCTGTGATGTTTACATCAGAAAATCCTGCTTTCTTAATGTAACTAGAAGTATTTCTATTAGGATGGCAATTGTCAGCCATAAGTTTCCAAAGTGGAGCCACTCTATCTTGCATGAACCTTAGTCCAGTTTTCTGTTTGGCTGCTACATGATCTAAGAAATAGAACCTACCTCCCTGAAAAATAAATATTGGGAAAATAAAGGCTTGCTTTGATCTCATACAAAACTAATGTGTCTTTTATACATAGAAATAACAGACACGGCAGACAAAATCAATAATTTTTTAGAAAGGTCATAAATAATTCAACTAGGCCTTCAAATCACATGTAGGCCAACATTCATGTATAAAAAGTTCTACAAAACGCGATATGTATGTGTAATTTGAATCCGCCAAATCACAATTATTCAAGATGGTGACACCAGTTACAAGAAAGTTGGAGTCAACAATCACATATGCTTTTATCTGATACTAAAACAAGCTCTGTTACATCACAATTTATATATGTAAAATTATCAAGAATATTACATATGAGATTCAGAATAAAAAATTCTCCTTTTTTGTGTTTGTGTTTTCTGGGCTTTTTTTCTTTCTTACACCAATTGTAAGATACATAAATTTTCAAATCAGATATGCTAAGACACATATCAATCAATAACTAGGTCATTTGAATAATATGTCACACTGTATAATTGTAATGACATGTAGACTACTATTGATAACAATCCATTTTAAAGGGATTGCAAGGAGATAGGGCTGGGAAGTATTGGTTCAAATGGACATCATATTTAGCATCAATATATCGTAATGTTTCTTAAAAAGGATTTTTAGTGGTTACCGGTATTTCATACGTGAATTTCATTTTCACAGAGGGCAATTAACAATTAAAAAAACAATAGGACTTACAGGTTTCAATACCCTCTTGACTTCTTTCAAAACTTTTTCTACATCATTTACACTACACAAGACTAAAGTTTCCACAACAACATCAAATGAGTCATTAGAAAATGAACTTAAATTTTCACCAAAACCACATACAAATTCATGCAACTTTATCTTAGGGTTCAATGTCTCCATATTTTTGAACAAGTAGGATTTGAAGTGTTCATTAGGGTCCAGGCAAGTTATTTGGGATCCTTCTGGAAAGTGTTTAAAGTTCAATCCTGGTCCCACACCGACTTCCAGAATGGTCAAAGAAGGTCTTCGGTCTCCCAATGTCTGAAATAATTCCAACTTTTGTTTGAAAATTTTCTTGTGAATTCGGTGATTTACTTTATTCATTGCCCATGCTATTATTTTCTTCTTCGACTTCGACAAGAGGACACACATGACAATAAATAATAGAACCGGAATACTATAATTTAAGATTGTACTTCGCAATTCATAATCTTCCACGGCCATTTTGTTTATTTACATGTCAGGTCATGTGATATTGTGTCACGTGATGAATATTTCATTCGGATCTGTTGCACATTTTTGCGATTATGCCAAAGCGCTTTAAAACTATAAATAGTAATAGATGTGATTTCAAGCCATCGGGGTGCTTTAGGGTTATTATAACTTTAAAAAGATTTGTTGGATGAGGCTAGGCCCTAATTTAATTAGATAAGAATATAGTCTCAGTAATAATCTTAACAAGTTTTCTACCACGCAGACTATTACAGTGCCGTTCTTATGACGTTATTTTAAACCAATCAAATTGCTCTATATAAATCCTTATTTTAAAGATAGTGGACCACAGCCATATACGCCCACCACGGCATGCGGATGGTAAATATTTAAGATTTTGGGGCAAGGGCAATATCTCTGCTTCTAATGATCGAATTTCATTTTATTCCATCAAAAATCTAGTTTTTAGAGCTTTTACAAGCAACCGACGTCCACATAAAGAGATGGAGTGGCATATAAAACAATAAAACATTGGTATGATGAGATCCAAATAGAGTGATCTGGCAGCCTCTTTTGCATATTCGCTATTCCACAATTTGTCTTCAGGCTCAGATGGATGATTTTGATAGCTGGAGTTCAAGAAAAGAGGTTCCGTTTTCAGAGAAGCCAGCTGTGAACTCTTCGTGCTTGAAGACAAAACCCCTCATACCTTTATTTCTGATAGCTTTATTTGTAAGTCACACCCCCAAAACCCACACATCATAATTAAACGTTTAGTAGATTTTGCTTTGGTGCTGTTTCTACTTTCAAAACAACCATGTGGACAAAAATTCAACATTTAATGTACAATTCTGTTTTATTTTCATTCACAAACTTAAGTTAGTATCTTTACATATAGTTTTTTATCATCTTGAAGCATTTTAAGAATTACAAACGTGGCAGTAATTGATTCAAACTCTGAAAGACTAACTAAAACTTTGATCACAAGAAAATAGCATTTGCAACAAAAATGTCAAAAATATAACAAAAAAAAGTTTTGGTCATGATACCCAGGTACATCCATAAAATTAGACGTAAACATGTTTTATAGAAATTTTAATAGCACAGAAACAGTATACACAAATTATTTGAACCAATGGAAAGTCATTCATGCAATCAGCATTGGCCAAAATTTCCATTAAATGACTCAATTAATTTTATTGAATTTCACTATCATGGAACATTTTGACTGACAGCTAGCATTAGGTTCTATGTAAATCAGGTCATATCAAATAAATTTATAGTAGTTAAGAAGTCGAAACAGTCGCTTTCATCCCTCTGCCTTCGTCTTGATAATTGGACAGTCTTAACTTCTTGGACAGTACAAAAGGTCATTGACTCTTATGAATATGAACTATAGTCGATGCAAACATTATTATCCAAACTTGGCAATACATAGTATTACCACATAAAGGACTGTATTCAATGACTATAATACATTGTATATAGTTCTACTATTATTCAAGAGTACAGGTAAATAAGTTTAATAGACAACAATAAAATGTACATTACATGTATATATCATAATGGGTAACCTAATAAAACACTAATTAGGGCCATTATAATCAACTGCTAAATGCACACTTTAAACATAATAAACTTTAATATCATACAAAATATCTAATTAAATATCTAATTTAAAAGGATACTACCCTTAGAATGGACATCAAATTTTAAGGTTTCAACCTTGGTCAACAAGTGTATATATTGATCAGGTTGACGTACCACGTGCCATGACTAAAGCATAGAACCTCTATTCAAGATGATATATCCATTACACTAAGTTATTATAGAAAACACTTCTAAGCATGTTTAAAAATTACCAAGTTTAATGAATAATTACTTTATTTTATGGATTTATTGGATTATATAGGGATTCTTTTGAACATTTATGACACCAGGTAAGTAGACTTTTGAACAAAGACTCATGTTAACCAAGTTTAAAAATGTTGATTTTTTGATCATTGTAAGAGGTAGTATACCTTTAAATTCATCTTTTGGAAGGATCTTATCTAATTATAATAATAATCGTTGTAATTTCTATCATACTATTATAATACATAATGAATGGTAACTTTCATAATACCAGTTTACACATAAATATTATGTAGGTCTATTTGTCTTATTAAGATGATAGGAGTTATATGTTCTAATTTTGAGGCACATGAAAGATTTTTTTGTTTCTGAAAACATGAGTTCAACATATCACTCCATTTAGACATGATTACATCAACTCTAATACACAATTTTTTCTCTTTTACCATAATACCCATTAAGGGCAAAACAAATTTATAACTCTAAATGAAAATATAATATTTACATTTCTACTATCACTCCCATCAATGAACCAGTCACGCAATCTGGTCTTTATTTATCAATAAAATCTAGTTTGTCACGTGACACTATGACATAAACAAAGCACAAACATAACTTTGTCATTTATTCAGTTTGTCACATGATCGATTACACACCAATAATGCTATGAGACGAAAGTTTAATTAATAAATAAAACTATCTCAGAAGGGAACTTTCTCTAAGACCCATGTACATATAAAAAGCACAAATAATTGTTATACGCAAATATATCAATTCTTTCTAAGATCAAACCATGAAATAAAATATTGAAATATAATCGCGTAAAGAACACAATATAGTAAACCAGTTCAAAACTTTGATTTTAAAACAGTTCATAAAGCTATTTTGACATAAAATATTTTGACAATAAATTTCAAAAGTATCAAATTTCTCATAAAACATAAATTTTAAACTAAAAATTGAAAATGAATTGGAATGAAAAATCTTAGAAAGTTTTAAAACTACCATTTTCTTAATTAAAAGACAATTAAAAACAATAATTAAAATTTTCTTAAGAGGAAAATAAATTTTAAATAATAATCTCATAGAGTAGACAATTCAAAAATTAGAACTTATTGATGCAATAAGATAAAAATATCGTCAAAATATTTGACATATAATGTAAAAACTAAAAAATCTAAAATTTTGTACATGTATGAAATTGATGAATTCATATGAAGTTGGCCACTTAAATTTGTGCTTAGTATAAAGCATCAATGAAGGAGATCTTGTATGTTAGTTGTTAAGGCAAACTTTCTAACAAATTGGTATGGAAAAGATGATTTACACAGTAAATTTCCTTATAAACTCTTTAAAGATTTCTAAAAAAAAACCCCAAGTCCAGTACAGGCATACTTTTAAAAGTGTTCTTAAGAGGTGTTTATCTCAAAATTGAAGGGAATTGAAAGAGTATATAATTAGAGAGAACAAGTCAATATAAATAAGTAAATGAAGTCAATATCAGTCTTAACTTCCCAGCACTTTGGATATATTTTCCATTCGTTAAAATCAAGGATACTTTAATTTGAATTGAGTATGCTTCAGGAGAAAAAATTTGAGATTCTTCATGATTTGAAGATATTTGATTGGATAATTTTTTTCGTAAATTCTATTTAATCCAATCATGTCTTAGTATTATATAGTAAAGGGCATACATTTTCAACAATCTGAAAATTGAAAGTTGAAATTGAAGCTCTCAGTTCTTTGACACTAAAATAACACATCATTGGCTTGTTTATATTTATATATAGGTTTCTTCTACAAAGATGTTGATAAACAGGAAAAAAATAACTAAGATGTATCTTAGTTAAATTGTAATATAAAGAACTGTTTTCAAGAAAAAACAGTTTTGCATTAGACAAATATTGCAGTACATATTTTCAATATGGGCAGTATTTTGATTTCAATTTCCATGATAATTTAGAACTTATATGAATTTCTAAGGATAACTCATCAATCTATCACAAAAATAATGTTCAAAGATAAATTCAAATTATCTTTCCCTATCTCTGGACATATCTTGATGGTAATGATTACAATGATGATAATTTAGCACTCTGAACTTGGGTTAAGTAAGGTGAGTTGTTCTGGAAAAGGCGGAACTTGTTTTTCCATCCCAATCGGTAAGGTTGTAGGTAAATATACAGGAGCCGACACTGGGACAAAATCTGGTCGTTCAGATGGTTCTAGGGTAGCATAATATTCTTCTCGATGTTTCTGTAGAGCTGGACCCCATGTTTTTGAGGGCTTTGATAATTTAATAATCCTCTGAAATTTAGAAACAGATATTTGAGATTTGTATAACATATACATGCAAAGAAAACACAGTTTAGAAGGAACAGAGAAAGTGAAACAAGCTCTAATAGTTGATGAATAGTCTCATATGAGAGGGTCAGAGAAATTTTGTCAGACATTGAATCCGTTATTTTCTTCCCCTTAACCCCACATATTCTGAACTGAAGAACCCTACAACATACCTGTAAAATTGGTCCATCAGCTTTAGAGATTTCATAAATAGCCACAACTGGTAAAGGTATGATAGACACAAGACTTAAACACCAGCCTAATACTACAGACCATTGAGGATATTCGTAATCACCATACGTTACAGGTGTCATAGAGATTATACTAAATAACCATACAGACTAGAATAATAAAATATTACATATTTTTATATGGGTTCCATAGCTTCCCTATACATATTAACTCTATAATTTGGAGGGTGGAGATCTATTAGTCACATACAGTTTCTGGTGGAAATTTGATGAAATATAATTTCTTAAAGTAAACAGTATTATTAATTGCATACCAAAATAATAGTAGGAGTAATGAATTTCCAGCAGATTTTCCACCAAATACAGGGTTGATAACCAATCATGAGCTCAATATCTTTATAAAATCTATCAGCACCTGGGAAATAGAAATAATAACAAATGGAATAAATGACCTTCATAGTTTCCACCAAAATTTGAACTCACAGGACATATTCATATTATTCTCATTTCAGATATCTGTGTCATACATGTAATGGAATGTAACAGAAGTGTTATGCACTCTTGTCTTTGTAATTTTTAACACCTTAAATGATCCATGAAGGTTTATTATACATCAAATAAGCTTTGTGGTTTGAAACGAATTATGATAAAAATCAAGAAGAATTTATATTCAGTCTAAGGATATCACTGATACCTACCATACACCCATGCAATTACTAAACACTCAATCAAAGACATCAACATTAATGAGAAAGATGAGCAGTACCAATCCATAATCTGTAAGATGTAGATTCCTCCCTGAAAGTATAAAGAATACAAGACTATGCTCATGATCTATAGTTACTACCAATTATAATTTCTTTTTTTTTGTATTTTTTTTTTATCTACAATGTTATCTAAGATGTTTTCCACTGCAATAGCATCCTGATGATGTTATTTTTAACCAATCAAATTGTATCATGTAGGACCTGTATCTTGACATTAAGGATGTATTCTGTTATAGTTTCGCTGTCCCACAATTCGTCAATGTTATCAAGATACAGATTCTCAATGATATTGATAAGTTTGAAATAAAAAAAAAAAGAGGGAAAATTTGTAACATTAAACCAGAAAGGAAAAATATCGGCAAAAAAGTGAAACATTGGTCTCTTCGTTGTTGTTTCTTTGATTTTGAGTCGTTCCAAAAACTTTGTAAGCAAAGTTCTAGTGTCCCCCTTTAGCTAGGAAGTTTTAAGGTACAGAAAACTCTGTCTCAAATTGATAAATATCATGACCTGAAATTTTTTTTTTTTTTTTTATCAAATTACCTCCATAATACAAGGAATTCCTAAAACAAATTCCACCACACACATGCCAATTGTAAACACCAATTTCTTGTTTCTCAAATAGCGTGGAAATTCATCAACAAAAGCACTGGTCATAGTTTCGAACATTCCAAACTACAAAAAAGAGGGTTAAAATATTAAAATCATTGTCAGGAGGCATACAATCTGTTGGGTGTGAAAAAAAACCTATTTGTATCAGGATATTGATTTTTTTGTCATAAATATCTACTTATATGCACCACAAATTTTAAATAGTAAAAAAAAAAACATTTTAAATGTAATAATAAGGTTGTTCGACCATTGATTGCTTGTCAAATTTGACTCGAAATTAGTTTCATGCATAACATTAAGATATCACACTTGAAATTTAAAAATATTTATACATTTTTCATGTCAATTCAATTATGCATAACAAGCATGGGATTTTGGGAAAACTTCCATGTAGCAAAAAAACATTTTCCAATGTAAAAAAAAATTTAAAAAAAACTATATGAAGATTTTTTGGGGGGATTTTAAGAAAACTTTTAAGAGGACGTTTCTTTTCAAAAGACATCTGTCGTTGGAAAGGAGAAATGGAAAGGGGCAATAAATAGAAAAAAATGCAATAAAGGCAGATGACATTATCATACCTTACCAACACCTTTATCTATACAAGTATATAAACCAACAATAGAAAACCTCAAAAACCTGTTCACAGTTCACATTATACCTTGTTTATATTTCTCTGTAAAATACACAATTTGCTCTACTTTTCACAAATTATTTAATAATAGCACAATTTTCCTATATAAAAACACCATATTGTGCTTTGCAGTTTATGAAGCTTCTATTCAAACCCCTTAAAAATGTCATTGTTTTAAAGTTCATTTCAAATTGTTGGATTTTCAGTTTTGAGATTTCATCATTAAAGGTTTCAGATGTTGACATTTTTTACTTTAAAATGTCAATGTTTCAATTTTTAAATGTCAAAATATAAGATGGTTAATGTCTTGATTAACTTCTTCAGTCACCAAATGTTAAACTGTTAAAAAACACTTCACAAATTTCAACAATTTGAAATGAACATTTTTCAGCGAAATTTCAAATTTGACGAAATAACGTTCCTAAACCTTATTTCTTATACCGCTAAAATTACAAAATTATGAAATCACTTTTCACCCAGTTATCTTTGTACCAGAGGTTACATATATTTTCTCATTTTACCAAATTTAATGTTCAAATCTTATTTTCGCTCCAAAAGTTAGTTTTCTGTCCTTTCTTCTTGCCTTTTTGTTGAAAAGATCATAACGTAAAAACATTAGTTTCATATTGAAAAATCACATCTGAAACAAGGTTAAACCCTAAGAGCACCAAATCTTTTAGGTTTAACCCTTTGAACACTAAGTGTAAATAAAATAAATTGTCGTAACCACTAGTAACTGACTTATCTGAAATCACTTGGTCACAAGTGACGGTTAGTGTTGAAAGGGTTTAACAAATCAAACAAAAATAAGAACATCCTAAAGTTATGTTAATAAGTCGAATCATATTATATGCCCTAGATTTTTGGTGCTCTTAAGGTTAAGAAACCTCTTTTCAGTAGCAAAATCACAAAAATACATGAAATCTAATCTGAACATACTATATCAATTTAAGAATCATAATCTTTGGAACAAAGCAATAAATAAGTTTAGATTTGGAATTTTTCAAAAATATTGAACCCACTGTAACGAGAGTAACTTGTTGAATAATAAGGGACATTCAGCCATAAGATATATTTTTATTCAAAGTCATACAAAGTGACAAAACTAGTCACAAATTAACCAGGTGACAAAACAATTTTATGGTGAAAAAACAAAACTTATTGATTTTATGAGATGATCTTTAGAAATATTGACTTTGAGTAAAAATAATTTCTTATTTACAAAAATTTAGATACTTCTCTCCCCAATCTTACTTTCGGACAAAAAGTTGACAGTTTCGAGTTCAACGTGTCCCTGAATTCATTTCCCTGAACCCATTTTCTAATCCAAATTACCCACTCCCTTCCCCCCAAATTTTTTCTTTCAATTCCTTTCAAATAATTCAAGGTTTCAAAAATGAAAAGGAATCAAAAGCACACGCCAAATTGAAGCAATAATCTATTTTTTGACTTACGTGTTTACCTGGACTTCATGATAACTTGGTTAACTTTCACATCATCGGGCTAGATACCATTAACGCAATTTTTTTTACACTCACGCCCATTCGCAAGGAAATTTGTACCCCCCTAAGTGTCCCCATCCTCGCAACCACGCCCTACTTCGCCCATTTTCAATCATCAACCAACCACGCCTATAAACGCACATACACACAACTTTCATTCGCTGAAATGAAAACTGAGAGTCATTTAATTCAGTTGAATTTAACCCTGAAATATTTTACTTGGCATTATGGAAAAATAGTCAGTCATTGAGTTCATACAAAAAAATTTCATATTAACAGCCATAAACAGACTATGCATGTTTTGATTCTTTGCATCAAATTAAGGTTAACCTTCAAAACAATTAAAATCGGATCACAATTCATGCAATAAGTCCAACTTTTAATATGCAACTAAAATGAATAGCATTGAAGCTACCCCTAAATGTGCTATTCACTTTATAATCTTTTAACATTTTGTCTGTGATATTTTATATAATTATTTTTGTTATTATTTAAGTAGCATCCTAGAACATAATCATATCTGTTACCAATACCTATTACACTATTATTATGCATCAGTTTATATCAATTTCAATATCAAATATCAATTAATTCCTGAATTATAAGTGTAAATATATAATCATAATTCATATAAACATTGGCAGACCTACAATTACCTATTAATCATTTCTAGCACATATTATTATCAGCTAAACAATAGACACAACATGGTATTGTCCTATGGATCTTGATAATTAATATTATGCTATTTAAAAATAAATATGAAACCTACACAGTGTAGGCTACACTATGATATTAGTGCAGAAGATAGATAAAATTAAGTAGTACAAAAAAAAATGTTAATTTGAAAAACTCATTGTAATAGGTGTAAATGATACATATCAATAGTCAAAGCACAAAATATAAAAGCAATGCTGCATGTAATTATGTTATTTAAAACATTAAATATAGATTGTGGTTTCATATATTTTACAACCATTAATTGAAAGTATTTACATAGAATCCTAAAATGTCATGTTTAAAAAGTGATCCATATTTACTGATAAGCTATTTTGGATGAGATGTAAGCAAACAATTTTTTTTTAAATTTAAAAAGAGTATCTGGGAATATTTCCAACCATTTACTTCAGGGTTAGAAATAAGAAAAAATTCATTTGCAGAAAATTTGTTGTTGTTAAATTTGATTTGAGGTTAACCAAGTCACATAAGATAGCCTAATCTTCTTTAATGTTATTTATAAAATTTATTTACATTATTTTTAACAAATTATTTAGATAGTGACATTTTACAAATTATTAGATTGGGCTCTTGTGGAATATTATTTAATGTTATGGATAAAATTCATTTACATGATGACATTTTACAAATTATTAGCATATTGGGCTCCTGTGGAATATTTTTTAATGTTATGGATAAAATTCATTTACATGATGACATTTTACAAATTATTAGCATACTGGGCTCCTGTGGAATATTTTTTAATGTTATGGATAAAATTCATTTACAAATAGAAAACTTGAAGCTCTTCTTTCTTGATATTTATCGTTTCCATTAGTAAGTTTTTTCAGCTACTATGAAAATAATGTCAATTATTTAGAAGCAAAATGCAAAAAAAAAAAAAAAGCACAAGAGATTAGCTCAATAAGAAATTTATCAGAGGTATGTTAATCAAGTGAATAGGACAGTGTAGGTGATAGCTTAAATGCTTGAAGACAATGAGCTCAGCTAACTGCATTGGTGAAAAGATTTTATGCATTGTTTTTTTTCTTTAAATTTGAAGACTACAATTTTTGTAGCAAAAGAACCATGATCAAAATGAGTTTGTGCATCAAAGTAAATCAACAACATTAGATTTATAATTCACCTTTTTTACTCTGAAATAAGGACTACTAAATGCAAGACCCGATATATTCTTTCATTTATTTGACATCCCTCAATCTTTATGAATTCTTCCAAGCATGCACATTCAAATTTTTATGCTATGATCTTATGCATGTGTAGAAGAGTTCAGTTGAAATACAAGGGGTGTTTTTATTGCCTGTTACACTATATCCAGCAATGTGGGTCTGAATCATTTTGGTTGGGAATTAAATGCCTAACTTTCCTGAAACTAAAATCCTTTGAAAAGGGACAAAAGACCAAGAACTGTGTTTTCAAACCTTGAATGTAATTCTACACACGGTTTTTGAAAATACAGTCCTACTAATAATAATTTTGGACATTTATAAGAGATAATATTACATATGTTTTTCAAATTTGTTTAGTTTTTTTCTATTAATTTTTTCTAATATTTCTGTGGTTTGGGCTTGATCATTTACTTCACTTTATCAAATGACAAAAGAAATTCTTGGGAATTTTAGCTCCAGTTTACAAAGTTGATATGAAATATATTAAATGATATCACCCAGATAGATGCTATGTAGTATATGGTAAGGAATATTGATCTGTCTACTTCCTGTTCAGTTAGAAATCAGACAGTTATTTTTTCATTAATATTCCTTTTTTTTAATTAAGGAATCAGGAGTGGATGCCAAAATACTTGACACTTTGTCACATAGTTCAGTTTCCGAATAGATATTTTTAAAGAACAGTAGCATCCAATCAAATGATAGCTTAAAATTTAAAAAATAACAAGCATTTGTATGCAACACTACAAGCACCAATAAGGACCTGAAAAAAAATTGACACCTAGTTTTTGATGAATCTAATGTTGTTACCTACCAAGACAGTTAGCTGATGACTAAAACCCCAATTGAACAGAAATGCAAAAAATAATAAATAGACAAACCAAAACACAAATGTTACCTGAGTGTCCAAACCAACTGTCAGCAACATCAGGAAGAATAACACAGCCCATAATGGTGAAATGGGCAATCTAGCAATGGCTGCAGGGTAAGCAACAAAAGCTAAACCAGGTCCTAAAAAGAAGAAAATTATTTTAATCAGTGAGAACACTGAAAAATCATCATATGTTTGAATTACATTGGAGAAAAAAAAGTTTATTAGGCAAGCAGTAGAAATTGAGTCACATAGGTTAGATTTTTTCTTTTGTTGAGTTATTTTAACAAAATGATCTTAAACTCAAACCTTGTGTGGCAACTTCTGAAATGTCCACACCAGTTTCATGAGCCATAAAACCAAGGACAGAGAAGATGACAAGACCAGCAAATACACTTGTACCAGAATTCATCAAGGGAACCAATATGGCATCTCTGAAAGAAAATAAGAAACCTTGTGCAAAAATGCTTTACAACTTCTATGTTTCATCTCACAGTTATCTTTTGTTCAGCACCAGCAAAGATTACAGCATGAATGAGCTATCTTGACTGGACTTGAAAAATTCCAAGAAACAGCCTCCTGCCAAAATCAGGAAGCACTCATAGTCATATTAAGTGAGCGATCAAAAAACTAAAATAAAAGGGTTGCAATTGGAAAAGAGCGAGTTTTATCTAATCAGATCAAAAGGAACCGCTAAATCTAGCTTGCTCAAAAGTATCAGCTAAATCTAGCTTGATCAAATATGTACCAGCTAAATCAAACTCAGCTAACAAGGTAGAATTTTTTCCATTGACTAACCTGTAGATGTTATTGTGAAATTTATTGTAAGAAGCCATGGTTATTAAACCACCCCATGCCATACCCATCGAGTAGAATATCTGTACTGCTGCATCACCCCACACCTACAATTATTTCAACATGTTCAGATATCAATACTTTCAATTCAACAATTGATAACATTTTCCTCTGTGAAATAGGCTGTGGGTCCAAAATTTGAATTTTTATCTTAAGCTTTTCACTTAAAGGCTATAAGGCAGGCTACTATTTATTCACTACTAAATGGTCAAAACAGTCATAGTCAATTTCTCCAGGACATAGATACAATAGGAAACATGTGTTACTATAAATCAATTTCAGAAGAAAGAGAAAATTATAATAGGTTTACCTGAAAAGTTAAGAGTTTATTCCAATCTGGAATCAAATAAAATCTCAGACCATCCATAGCACCTGGTAGTGTAACACCTCGAACACATAATATCAATAAAATTAAATAGGGGAATGTTGCTGTTACATATACAACCTGAAATTAAGACAATTTTACCTCCATTTAAAACCATTAAAAGAAATTATTTCTTTTTTCACACAACAAGTCATTATGGTTCACAACGTGAGTTTTATAGGACAACTTAGAGGTTTCTAGTGGTTCTTTATCTCTTTCAACACTAGCAGCAGTTCTACCAGCCACGTAATTTAGAGATATTAGCAGGCATTGAAGCAACAATTACCAAATGATGTCATTTAATATCAACTTCATACACTTTAAATTATAATACTTAGAATTCAGGGCATATCACATTTTAATATATATTCAAACATGTTCGTCACTGGGTCAACCAATATATAAAAAATTAATGTTATATATGAAGAAATTAAGTATCAGATTTGTAAGGCATGGAACTAAAAAATAAGACATGCTTACTCTGCCAGAAGACTGAACACCTTTACAAATACACAGGAAAACAATGATCCAGGATAATATCAAACAACCAAACAACTCCCATCGAATACCACCAATACTCTCTATACCTTCTGTTATCTGGAGAACTTGACGTCTGTAAGGAAATTAGATAATGATATATGTATTATCCTTGATTTTGTAAGATTCAATTCATCAATACCCTACGTTAGTTCAGCAAAATAATTCTTGTCCAAGAATAGAAATCATGCTTCAAATTTTGTAGCAATAGGCAACTTCAGTTGCTACTTAAAGGGATTGTAAAGACGTTTTCTAAAATTTTTTATGTGTATCGGTGGTAATTGGGCATCAATTTGCATCATTCCAATTATCAATCAGACATCTGTGGTTCCTGCAATTCCACTAAAACTTAGTGTTTGATGATGTCACATATCAACAAATATGCTTTATCTCATAAGACCCTTTCGCGATTGGTGACATCATCAAACACTTAGTTTTAGTGGAATTGCAGGAACCAAGGCCATCTAATTGAAAATTGGAATGGTGCAAGTTGATGCTATCAGTGTACCCGATACATATAAAAAATTTAGAAAACCTCTTTACAACCCTTTTAATCTAAATTGATAATTTTTTACAATTATTGAGAATGGTATGACATGCAATTCTACTTACTGCCAAAATTCCTGACTTGGTGGTATCTTGGTAATATTTGTTGTTAGATTGGAAGCCAGAGAGAGAGCAGAAGCATTGTAGCCACCAAATTCAGATAAATTACTGAACAAGGAAGAATTTGACCATGCTGATGAGTTTTCAGTGCCTCTTAAAGCACAAAACTCTGTGTTCCACTCATTATCACAATTACTCCAAGGTAAGGTTGTCTGCATGGATGTAAATAGGTAATACAGAGTCCAGGCAATAATAATGTTGTAATAAATACACACGATTCCCGATATAATGACCATACCATATCCCACACCTAAAATATATACATATACAGTATTAAATTGATTGCAAGTACAAATCATTGTTTGTAGCCTGTTCAGAGAGCATGAGCCAATTGTGAACAGACTGATGGAAAGCAATATGCTTGTGGTCATATAAAAATCAAAAGAATCCATAAAGAATTGTTGCTTGAAGAGTGAGCAAAATTTTCACTGTATAGCTAATACAGTGAATATACTAAGTTGAAAACAACATTTTGGTGAAAAATTACCAGATCATCCTGAAAATCAATAGGGATCATCTTTATAATGACATTGACTCAGGGATTTTTAATTGGCATGGGTGTAACTTTAACCTCCCTAATCCACATTTTTCAGGATAAATATGCTAGGTCTTTATACAGTAATTGTAAAATCAAAATACAATTATAATATTTAAAAACATTATGTCATGATAATATCAGGCAAACATAATTATGATATTCCAAATATTTTCAAAGAATAACACAAGGATATCCTATTCCTAATAGTCAACAATTACATCATTTATGAAGTATATTTATATCCATAAAAATATTTTCAAAGACAAGACTATAATAGAGTGGAAGAAAATCACAATAATATTAGCATAATTTGTATCAGTTATAAATATTTATAGATTCCAAATATTTTCAAAGATTTATAATATAGTGGAAGGATATCACGAAAATATCAGCACAATTTGTATCAGTTAAAAATATTCATAGATGCCAAATATTTTCAAAGATTATAAAATGTGGGGTAGAATATCATAAAAAATACCAATCTGTCAAAACTATTTATAATAATATATAATCAATGATAATAATAATAATAGTCAGTCAAAAATATTCATAATATTCCAAATATTTTCATCTACAATAATATTTTGGACAACTTCATGATAACATTAGCAAAAAAACATTTTTAAAATTCAAAGCATTCATAAATCATTGCAATGTTGTTTATAGAATTTTAGTTCAAACAATTTTTACTATCAAAATATCAACTATTAAATTATAAGTTCCATTTTCAGAGAATTCAAAATACCATTCTGTCCTGTATTTCAAGTATTTCACATCAATTTAGTTCCGTTATGAAGGGAATCACTGTAATTTGTTAAAAATGATAATGTAAGAAGATAACAACAGCCGTGAGAAAAATTAACCTAGATAACACACAGAAAAAGAGATGGAATATAAAAATATCACAGAAGCTATGGTAAATATAACTAAAACCTGACACCTGTTTTTATGTTTCTCATTTCTAATGTCTGTTTACCAAGATTCATTTCCAATAGATTTAGTAATTGTAGAATGAGTCTTGAATTCTTTGGTCAAGCATTTAGTTTTTAACAAATCAAATGATTCATTGAAAGAAAACATTACATCAAAATGATAAAAGAGTGATTACAAATCTGAATTAATCTTCTAATGTTTATGGATCTGCTGGATCAAGAGATGAAATGCTGCTGTATCCTACTATTGTGCACCTGATTGGGCTAAGGAGGCATTTTTTGTATAATTTTTAATATAGCAGAAGATAATTGAGCATTTATGTGAATAAAATATATAACTGTTTTAATAGCAAAAAAAATAATAAATGTGGATTAGAATTTATGGTGATATAAAAACCAATTGCCTCAAATAAGCTTACATGAAAATCATTGTACGAAAAAGATAAAATAATTCAAACTTGGCTTAAACTTTAGTATTGAAATAGACTGTGGACTCGCTCAAATGTTGTGGACTTAAATTAATAATATTCAAATTCAAGGGCAATGACTCTCTGAGCCCAGTACTAAAATTAGTATAATGCTATACATGTTTTTCTAGTTCAAGCTATAGCCTATCAACTAATCATCTATATTTAGTACAAATATTTGAAAACTAAGCCAATGGCATTTCCAAACAAGGAATGAGGAATTTAATATCTGAATATCTTCCTATTAACTCACTTAGACCATAAATATAATGAGGAAAGGTCAGTTTGTTTAAGTGGCCAAACACTAATTATTAACTTTATATTGCCTTAATTAAGTATATTTACATCATGCACTGGTCAGCAACATTTCAAACCAATTATTACAAGTCAGTTTCTATCAGAGTCAACAATAATTTCTAATAATGTACTCATATAATTTGGAATTGATTAAGAACATATATATATTAATATAAATCGGGTAATATGTATCTGACCTGGCCTTCACTCCATGTTTACTCATGAAGTGTGGAACCAAATAATCGAATTATTAAGAACACAACAAAATTGGTTATGTTGTATAAAAATCAATATGACTGTATTAATTTTGAAATGAAGATCGACTTTCCCTATGTAATCACCACTATTCATCTTGTGATTACATGTTCCAAGGATGAGCTTTCAGCAGTAAACAACTGGTTTTTGAAGTTATCTTATAAGGTCTCTGTTTCACTCAGAAAAAGCACCCTGTGAAGTTATTTTTTTATTTCAATGAAGATAAAAGGATAGAGATGTGACCTTTATTGAACACTATGTTTAGATAGCAGCTGTTTGACAATAACTGTAAATAAATCAATATGGTAAAAACATGTAGGTCAATGTTGGCTGGAGAAAATTGTGGCTATTGCAGATTATATAGTTAGGATAGAATTGGAAGCTAAATAAAGAAGTGAAAAAACCTCATAGCCAACCAATCTCACATGAAATCTTTATCCCTTGATTCAAGAAAGTCAATTTTTTAATTGAGATGAATAAAAAATCTTATTTAAAAGTTTTAGAATCTTAAGGTATCATTAGTGGATAACGTCTTATTACAGTTACTTCATTATGGAGTTTGTATAATGATAAGCATTCTCACTTATTCTTCATTTTTTGGTAATTTACCTACATATCTAGTTTTATTATGACAATTGGTTGAAACCAAGGGTTTAAATTCAAAATTGTCAAAAAATTTCTTTTTGTCATATACCTACACATATACCAAACTTTCTGAATATTGGTTTAAAACTGAAGAAGCATTAACAATTTTCATATATACAAGATGAAAGTGGTAATATTGTTTATACAGAAAGTGCTCAAATTCGTACTTGGATGTGGAAAATACAATAATAATAAACATATAGCGCTATAACACCACACATCAATTTGCTCCAAGCACATATTCATTTATGTATAGTGTCTAAATAAGTATGCTTTCATTTTTGAAGAACTTTTCATATCTTCGGGTAGTTAATTCCACAAGTCTGCTGATGCATAACTTAAAGATTGTGCACCAAATGGTGTCAAACTGATTTCAGGTTTATTTAATCATGATTGTTTTGAAGACCTCAGCGTTCTGTTGGGCAAATATTCTACTGTTACATATTGAATATATTCTGGAGACATTTTGTGGACAGTTTGGTAGGTGAGAGACAGAATTACATCCACATAAGAAATTTGTGGCAAAGCTTTTCATCTTAATAATAAAATCAAAACATAATACCTTTAAACAAGGGGCTGATGCTCCAAATGGTAACTGGACTCAGACTCGCAAATTGTCCATAAGTTACTTCCATAAAGAATAGAGGCATTCCACACAATAACATAAATATAACGTATGGGATAAGGAAAGCACCTAATTGAAAAATAAAACAAAATTTTAGGAAATCAATGTTGTAGGATGTTGTAGTTGATTTTCAGGTAAGTCTACCAAAGAATAAATTTTAATTTCAATACAAACTATGCAAGTTTTAGAAATATTTTAGATAAAACAGCTAATAAATTTATTTTTGGGCATGTTCCCACAGATTTCTAAAAGGATCATGACATTTCTGTTGTAACTAATAATTCTACTCACCCCCACCACTCTTATAACAGAGGTATGGAAATCTCCAAATATTTCCCAGTCCAACAGCATAGCCAATCAATGACAGCATAAAATCCATTTTACCCTTCCAATTGCCTCTCTGGGCAGTGTCAAAGTCTTTCTCATTATCCCCAGTAGAACTGGAACTGATACTGAAGGATGTTGTAGAAGCATCAATAGGTCTACTTGCCAGTTTCTCATGTTCATCAGGACCCTGAAATTGTCAACAACAAAAATAATAATAGTAAATAATGAGATCTATAAGGTTATATTTTTAACATTATTCTGTTTTAACTTTTTTTCATGATCTATCTTATCTAATATCAAATACATAATGTTTTTCCTTTTAAAGAGATTGTAAAGAGGTTTTCCAAATTTGTCATGTGTATTTAGGATACTGATAGCATCAATTTACACCATTCCAATTTTCAGTCAGATGCCTGTGGTTACTTGCAATTTCACAAGAAATAAGCATCACTACCGGTAATTGCAAAATATGGTTATATCACATAAGGCCTTCCTCAACATTTAGTTTTAATTGATGCTATCAGTGTGCCCAATACACATAAACAATTTAGAAAACCTCTTTACAATCCCTTTAAAAGGAAAAACATTATGTATTTGATATTAAATAAGCTAGATCATGAAAAAAAGTCAATGGAAAACGAATAAATTATAATATCTCTTTTTACAATTAAAAGGGGTTTACTTTCACCCTGAACATTTCACAGTACAAAGCTCTTAAAGAAATATTAATGTCCTAGAATATTAGAAGGACTTTTGAGGGGACTTTGAAACTCAATAAAATCAAGCCGAAGGTATACATTATCATTACAATGACTAAGCTTATATTGAAGTAAGTAGGATATGTGCATTTCAAGTTGAGTAAAATATGAAAAGATCATCTGTTACATTGCTCAAAGAAGACAGTTAGCCAGGCAAGGTTAAAAGATGGATAAATTGGAAAATTTGTCAGTAAGCAATCATCACCAGCAACAAATATTTAAAGGGATGGAACAGATTCTACTATTTCGGGGCTTGATTTGGGTCTTGAATTATGTAAATCATAAATTTAGTTAAATATGTAACGAGTCGTTGTGCTGTGAACAATATTAATGATTAGCTTAGTCATGAAGTAAAATTTGTCAAACAAATGGCGAAACTGTCCCTTTAACACATACATTCTTCAGTTCTAAAGCACGATATTACAATTCAGTAAAGTTTGATGTAAGACTTCAATCCAGTTTTAAGTCAAACACATTCGATGAACATTGAACAAGAATGGATGAATCTAATAATTGACTTTTTTTTTGGTTTTGATGGGGTTTATCTTTCAACTTTCGACAGTGAGCTGTGGGCACTATTACTGATTAGTTTAGGTAAAAAAATTCCTTTATCTGAGACTAAGGTACATTTGGTCAAACTGATGACAAACCTGTTCCTTTAAATATTTTCTGATTATGCTGGGTAGAATGTTTATGAGCAATAGCTGTAGATGACCTGTCGTAAATGACACGAAATGTTTCATTTGGGCGTATAAAACAAACAGTCCAATGAAATTAAGACTTGTACACTAGGATATGGCCGTGTTCATTTAAAAAAATTGTTACAGAATTTGAATCTGCATGCAAAATCAAAGAGATTTCCTGCGAATGTTAAAAATATATTTATACAAGCTACAGAGTTTGATATCCTTTTACCAATCCAACCTTACAATATTTTTCATTTTGATATCATGTTAACAGAAAGGGTGTTGGCGGTCTGTTCCAGACAAAATCATGTCATGCTGCTCTGTCTAATCACAAAAGGGAAGAGAATATGCGTGAGTGAAAGTGTTTCATGAAATAAACCAGCTAACGCCCTTAAAGTTTACGTCCTTGTTCATATCATGAAGACAAGCATCTCTAAATAAATCATAATATTATTATATAACAGGTTGTGCATCGAATTAATACATACCGTACTCTTATTGATTTAGTTACACTATATTACGGTTCTGATTTAAGTAATAATCATTAAACACTTATGGAGTCATATCTGAATCAATGAGCTTACTTTTAAAGCTATTGTAACAAGGTTTTCAAAAAAAAAAATTATGTTTATCTGTGACACTGATAACATCGATTTGCACCATTCCAATTTTCAATTAGACGTCTATGGTTTCTGCAATTCCAAAAATCTAAGTGTTTGATGATGTTAATAATCACGAAGGGCTTAATGGAATTATGCTTTGCAATATCCTAATGTTAATTCATAAAATTCAACTAACATTACAGTGAAGACTGAAGATGCCATATTGATAGGTCTAGATTAGCCTACAACTTTGTCTTTATTTTGTATTCTGATATTTTATGTCTCCATTGTAATCTAACAATGTTTCTACCAGTCTCTTCTAATGGCGTTGTATTTTAATGGTGTTATATTTTTACTAATCAAAGCATGTCATGTCTCTTGATAACATAATGAATTTTGGGATAGTGAAGCTTAAGAGGGCTGTCTTATAAAGCTCTAACTAGTTATGTTATTCAAAAAATGTGTTAAAAAAAAGCACTGTGATGGAAAACTTGTTAGATTACAATGGAGAAGAAAATATCAGGAAACAAGAAAGAAATGAAGTTGTAATCATAATCAAATAGATTGTTTACCAACATCATGACATGATTTATTGAAGTTGTAATGTCATTTCTCTTCATACAAAAATAGAACTTGGTTATAAATCTTCCATGTTACATCCTGCATTTATTTATTATCTTTAGTAACCATGGCCAACTGTAAAGTACGGTACTATTATTATTGACCTTATTTAGTAATCATTACACAATAAGACCATATCTCTAATGGTAAAAATATCAATACATTTAGCACAATAAAACCAATAAAGCTTACTTTGTGATAACCAAATAATCAGTCACAAGGAAATGCATGTCATTATTAGCTAATTTGCAAGCAGAAAAAAAAACATGATCTAGTGCATATGACGTTTTATCTTTACATAAAAGGTTGTATTTTTTAAGATACAATCTCTGAAGGTTATATAAGACAGCTTGTCAGGCAACATAATTTATGCCTACATGCAGCTTTTTTAGAAAAGAACATTTGCCAAATGATTTGGCATTTGTTGTTAAAAGAAGAAAAATTCAAAAAGAGAATGTCTGAAAAAATGCAGATTACAAATTTCTTGTATTGCTATTAGTCAACTTAAAACAATAATTCTGCTATCAGCTGCTAAACTCAAAATAAGCACACTTTACAATGTGGTTAATGAAACATGAAACTTTCTCGCTTGATCTGCATTATTAGGGTGTCCATAGTTTTTCAGATAAGAGTCCACATTCAAACCTTAAATTTATTTTAAAGGTTTATGAATAAGCTTACACATATTTATAACATCAGCTAAAAACTGTAGATTCAAATGCATTGACCAAGAAAATAGACAAGTATTGTCGTCCACAATATATCTTCATGTGGGCATATAAAAATAGTTTGTCATCACATAGATTGAAACTTACAGCAAGAAGGAATGAGTTCATGGCCAAATTTTTCTCGTTCTTTTTCACAGAACAATTTTGAACCATAACTTAGCTTCTACAATTTTCCAGAACCATCTAACAGAAAAGTTAACCTACTTCCACGAAGCAAAATAACAAAATATGCCAACGAACTTAACAAATATTGTTGATTGCAACTATTTTCATTGGCTTAAACCAGGTAAACTATGGGCTTACTCTACATTTTGGACTGAAACGATGGTAAATTCATTTTCTGTGTAATTAACACTCTCAGTAGTTTATCATATAATACTGTTCTTTTAACGTGTGGGTAAATAATTTTCAGTATATTAATATTCGTATCAATATGCCCTTATTCAATCTTGCCAAAGAACTTTTAGATATAACCCCATCATTACACAAATTTTGTTTATAAAAAATTCTGACACAAACTACGATGTAGCCAATTGTTGGGTATAAAATTTTACCTTCAAAATAACATGACAAGTAACATGAAAAAGGTAGTAGCTACAGTGGTCAGCGAAGGTCCTAAAGAGCAACCATTTGGGTTTACAGACCAGCACTAACCTCAACCTTAAAATAACAATTTACCGTCCGACGGTATAAAAAAGGAAAATATCCAAGATTTTAAAATATTTGACTTAAATTTATTTACTTCGGTCAAATATCACATCAAGAATAGCTTCTATCGTAGAAACTTTTATTTTTAACCATATGATAAAATCTATGTGACCATACTTGGGATATAAAATTGAGAGCTTTGATTGCTTCGCCATTTTGAGCAACCACTTATTTTCTTCTAGCTACAACTCTGATTATGACTAAATATATTTAGACAATAATAGTAAGCAATATTGATATTATATTATTGTGATAAATGGTCTGAACTTTACTGCTGTCACCTTTACCTTTTTAGATATAAAAAGATAAGTACGGTAGCAGGTAGCAGCAGTACCATAACAGTGAATGATGATCTACATTTGATAAACTACAATTTTCCATGATCTGTTTTATAATTTGATTAACACAGAAATCTAGCCTAAACTAACTTCTTTGTTATTCGGCTTTTCCTTAATAATTAGAGATAGTTATGGATCAGAAAATCAATTTCTAACAGTTATACTATCAAGGCAAAATACAAGATAAACATTAACCATCCTAATGAAGAATGGCTAAATATAGAAGAAGGTCATTCATTTCTCAAGTTGGCAGAAGTTACCAGAAGAAGAAGTCATTAAGGACAAATTATTATACTACAGATGTTTTAAAAAATGAACTTGAACTTAAAAGATAACAAATTGTAAATATATCATTTTGTTTCCTTATTCAGAAACAACTGAATGTATTTTATAGCAATATTAACTTAGTTTTGTCTGTGAAATTAAGCTCAGGGGTAAATTTTCTGACTTGTCGGTGCTATGTAACTGTTATCAGATCAAAACGCACTTATCTTGGTTGTCAACCAGCTACTCTCTGAATACAATGTTTACAGAATTGAATTTTTGCAATTATTTTTGCATGAATTGAAATATCAAGTACAATTGTCAACCCGTCAATTACAAAGATTTTT